AAGGGGGAGAGATCAACCAAAGGACTTGTATGCATGCATATAAGCCTAACCAATGGACACAGACACCAGGGCGGTGAGGGCATGAGTGGGGGGTGGGGGGTGGTGGGGCAATGTAATACCTTAATCAATAAAGAAAAAAAATTTTTTTAAGTAAAAGTTTCCTCTAAATTTGCTCTAACCTCCTTCAAAATAAAATTATACAATAATACTCTAATCACTACAATTATGACTACAATGGGCCAGGCTTGATTCTAAGCACTTTACATGTAATAGCACATAACTCCTCTATCAAGTAGCTACTATTATTGTCCCCGTTTTAAAGATAAGAAAATTCAACAAAGCAACTGACATATCAATTTAAATTATTATTGAACTGTTAAAAAAGCATTTATTTGATTGTACATTAAAGAATTCCATGAAGAGTGGAACCCTGAATTGGGTTTTTATGACAACAGGCTGGGTTTCTTCATGGGCAGGGAACTGGCTATGGCATAGTGCCTTGTTTAATACTAATCCAAATGCTGTGGCTGAATACATTGCTGGTGATGAAAATTTCTGAAATGATCTTTCCAGTTATTCAGCAGTAAAGTTATTCTAGGTCTCCAGATACGACTAAAATCACTTTGATGATACTTAACCATCATGAAGCCTTACCCTTGATAAGATATACAGGGGACAAGGCAAAAGCTAATTACATATGTTCATGTAAGGAAAGATTTTGCTATGATTTGTGGAGATCTATACTTAACTAAGAATATTGTTTGTTAGACAATCATTTCATTTACCGTTATTTTATGTAGAAACATAACCTTAACATAACCTTACATTATAAAATCAAAGTTACAAAATTCATAAATAAGAATACAACAAATAATTATGATTTCTGAAAAGTAATCCAAGTTTGGACAAAGCTTAAATATTGTAAAATGAAAGAGCTAACTTTTATTTAGAAAGGAAAATTTGTCTAAGTTCACTGCACTGGACCTCCTGCTTCATCAACCAATTACCTTTTTGACTCTTACCTACAATCCTGAAAATAACAAAAGGCTTTAGCGGGGAGAAAGGGGAAGAGAAGATAGAGAATTGTAAAGCAGCTGGTCCTGATTTTTACTTTATGACACTTAAGATTACCTTGATTTCCTGTGGAAGTGTGAGCCACCGCACTCCAGGGAGATTGTCTAAAAGAACTGCACTGGAGGCCTCGTACTGCTGGGCACTGGGACTGGCCCTGCCGTGCAGCTTGGCAGGCTGAAGGGCTCTTTGAAAGAACAGTTCAAAAAAATGATCCAACCGAGGAGCATTCTCAACCTGGCAAAAGGCACTGAAGAACCAAGAGCTCTAAGTTAGAACAACGCGTGGAAATAAATGGTGGTCATCTTTTGTGTGCTGCTAAGAGGACTGAATCTTTCCCAACCATATAAGCTCTCTTCCTTACTCCTGTCTCTTAGTAAGAATTACTGCTATAATGTTACTGATGGAATGTGTTAAGAAATTTACCCTGTCAATATTTTTTACCCTAAAACCTACTCTCAAATGCACTGAGTAGTGGTACTATGGAAGAACCACATGCTAATACAAGTGGTATATCTACAGCAGAATGGGCTCAGGTGCCCTTTTTGTAAAAAATGTGAGTTGTTTTTACCTCTCACTATCAACCATTTACAACTCTCAATATCTTTCAGGCAATATGGAAAAATAAAGAGATTTTGAGCTTTGTAATATGGCTTCGAGTCTTATCACAACAGTTACTAGGTAGATATCACAGGAAAATAATCTAACCTTTCTCTGAACTTTGTTTCCATCTCTGTAAAAATAGGGATAGTACAATCTAATTCGCATTCAAACTATCTAGTATATAATTAGTATAAGCACGTATAAGGCTCATTACTTAGTAAGCACATAAATTAACCTAAGTTATTTCCTCCCCTCTTTAATGAAAGCATAACTATTGAAAAATTCAAAAGAGGAAGAGAGAGAAACTTGGTTTTAGCCATGTAAAATAATACAACATTGCCTGCAACATTCATTGGAATAGCTCACTGGATAATGTAATTGGTAATATTAGCAGAATACTACTCACTGATTCATTCAACAAATTACTTGAGTGCTTAGTATGTTCTTGATATTTTGTTCTTGTCTTTTGTCTTGATATTTTTATTGCTGTACAGCAGTACAAATATCAAGACAAAAGACAAGGTCTCTGCTCCTATGGAGGTCACATTCTAGTGGAGAAAGACAAGTGAACAAACAGTAAAAACATGAACACTTACAAAGGACTGTGCATAGAACAGGGCCTTGTGAATGTGTGATGTAACTGGTTGGCTATTTTAGATCAAATGGTTGGAGAAGAGTCTCTTAGAATGGGGCATTTAAGCTGAGATGCCAATGTCAAGAAAGTCCAGTGGGAGCAGAGTGCAAAAGCCAAAGCGGGGAAACAAGGTTGGCCAGGTGCCTACAGAACGATGCAGAGGGGTAGGTGTGGTTTGAGATCCAAAATCAGAAAGGTAGGTAGGAGGCAGATATTGTAGAAAGATCACTCTAACTGCATTTGGAAATTAATTAAAGTGGACTTTAATTAATATACAGATGGTCTATTATAGGATTGTACACCTGAAACATATATTAACCTACTAGAGGCCCGATGCATGAAATTAGAGCAAGAGTAGGCCTTCCTTCCCCTGGCTGCCAGCACCGGCTTCCCTCTGGCACCCGGGACCCGGGCTTCCCTCGCAGCCCTGGCTTCGTCCGGAAGGTCATCTGGAAGGATGCCCAGAAGGACATCCAGTCTAATTAGCATATTATGCTTTTATTATTATAGATATCACCCCAGAAAATTCAATAAAAAATTAAATTTGGAAAAAAAAGGGAAACTAATTAAAGTGGCAACAATGGAGGCAAGGAAACCAGTTAGGAGTTTACTATAGTAGTGAGAGATGGCTATGGTTAGAGAGGGTAATAGTGAAGATGGAGAGAAATGGATGGATTGGCTGATATGGACTTGCTCATGGACTGGCTGGGACTGGTGAGGGAAACTGTTATATCTTTAATTTGATCACAACACTAAACTTTGTTCATGTACAATCAGTTTTCTGTGGCTCAAAGGGCCTTTCATATCTTTCATAATCAGAAAAAATCTTGTTATTAAAAATTATTGCAAAACGACTATTAACAACATATTGGATACATACTGCTTTTTGGTTTTAAGAACTCAGTGGATCTTCACATTTATGGTTTGCCTTTCAAATTCCCACTTGAACAAGAAGAAACTAGTTCAGTTTGTTGCCATCTTGGAAATACTTCCAAATCAATGGAAGCTAAATTTCAAGATGAACTTCAGAGAAAGTAAGAGTACCTCTGCCCCCAAACTACTCCATCGAAATCTGCAGAACAACTCCAACGGATCATCTTCATGAATAGAATTTACTGCAGGAGTTTATTCTTTGATTATCTCTGGTTTTATGAAAACAGAAAGCTTTAATTAGGGTAAAACATAGCAAGCTTTGCTCATCTAGTGTAAATGTAAGGAGATAGTTTATAACCGCATCCTTACACTTCATTGGTTAAAAATGTCCTCATTGATAAACGGTAAAAGCCTTGTTTGTGGCTGCCTGGCCTTTTGTAGTTCACACTTTTGGAAAATTCTAACAAGTAAGTAATTGAGAGGAATGTGTCTCCTAAGCAGCTGTTGGAGAACACTGCAAATCAGACAATTTTCCCAGATGGCACAATCACAGAAAATCTCTAAGACTGCTTTGAGAACAGGGACAGCAAAAATCTACATAGAGAAGCAGAGAGCTGATACTACTGGTTTTGGAAAAGTGTATAAACTGATTGATTTATATACTGATAGATGCTGAAGACTTCGAAAGCAAAGGTATCATTTTAGCTCTTTAAGTACTGGGACTTACAAAAATCCCACAAAGAGAAAAATCTATTTTCCATCATAATTTTACCTGTTAAAATATTGAACAGTTACCTCAACTATCCTTCTTCAGATCAAGAAAGATGCATCACATTATGGGGTAAGGTAAAAAAGCAAGAGGCAGAAAAAAATATATAGTATGAGCCCACATGTGTTCAAAAAGAGAGTATTCATATTATATAGAAAATACACAGAAGGATACATAGGAAACTAAACAGTCTATTGTGATTTTTTTTATTTTAATAGTGCATTCATTTTTACTTGAAAAAAATTTTAGAAGGAAGTATCACATTTTAGGATAGTGAATTTGACACTGGTATTGTAACCAGAAAAACACACACATAAAAAAACAACACTTAAAATCTTCTGTTATGAACAAATGCTCTTACATTTACCCCTACAGAAATATATCAAATCAAAATATAATTGTGGTTCATTACTATTTCACTAAAGTAACATATGAGACCAAAAAAAGAAAAAGCAAGGGATGAAATGAAAAACTGCTTAGAGCGATAATTAAAAGCCAGTAATAAAGAATGAGAAAATAAGAAGGAGGGGAAAAAACAACCTCAAACAACTAACTTGCCAACGAAGGAAAAGTAGTAAGTGCAAGAGGTGATTTAGGCTCAGACACTTAAAACTTGAGATTCAATTCAAAGAAGTACTTACCTATCTAAAGAACCATACATAAATTTTAAGGTTTGGGCAACATTTTCTATCATATTCCTTAGCTGAGGAAGAGGAACTCTAAAAAAGGTAAAAACATTTGTTTAACATTAGCATAACCAAATGATGCATATCTGAAAGAAGCAGACCAAGTTTGTAGCCTCTGCCCAGTTCCTTAGCTGGGCTTCCTCTCCCCTTCCTCATGGCCTATGCTGCCTTTATCTTGACATTGTATTTTGTTTTTCTTTTGCCTTCTGGGATACTAAAACAATAAAGACAAATGATTTACCCTAAAGTATCTTATCCTAAAGTATCTTATTATGGATGTTCCACAATTTTTGTAAACCCACACTTGCAAAACAACCCAGCTTTTCATAATCCAACCCACTGGCCTTGGGCAGACTCCTAGCAGGGTCCTGTGTTATTTTATACAAGCTACTTGAGCATCTGTGGATTTTGGTATCCATGTAGGGTCCTAGAACCAAAACCCTGCAGATAGCAAGGGACGACTATAGTCCCCTTTTAGATAGAAAAACACACATTAGTTTGTTAAAGAGAGCCATCATTTAGCGTATATCATAACACCATTATCCCATCGTGTTAAAATTTTGAACCCCACATTTATGATAGATCATGTCTCTGTTGAAAACTGAAGTCACCTTCAAAACATAATCCATTTAATATTTTTCACTGTAGCCTACTTTGGAATTCCTGTTTGTGATGTTAAACATGCCCATAAATTGTCTGATACTCTTCCTCTCGAGATGGAGCTTAATTCCTTCCCTTTGAGTGTGGGCTGGACTAGGTAACACACTCCAACAAAGAATATATATAGTGGAAATGATAGTGTCTCTATTCTAAAACTAAGTTAGAAAAGGTCTTGCAGCTTCCCCCTTTCTCTATTTTGGATCTTGCTGTGGGGTAAGCCCAGGGACATGCTGTGAAGAGGCTCAAGCTATCTGCAAGTTTTGGTTCTAGGACCCTTCATGGATATCAAAATCCGCAGATGCTCAAGTCCCTTATGTAAAATAGCATAGGAGACTGCCCAAAGCCAGTGGGTGGGATTATGAAAAGCTGGGTTGTTTTCCAAGTATGGGTTTACAAAAGTTCACATCACATGAACACACAGTTATTGTATTAGTCCAACAGACCTTTAAATTGTAAAGCTGTTTAAGGAGTTTGCCTTTTGACGAAAATGGCATAATATTAATGAAACAGACTACGTTAGCAGTATTTGAGAAATGACTGTAAGGTCAATAAAACCCTCAACTTACTCTTCAGCAGGCAGGCCAATTAACAACAACTTCTCAGATTCTTTCCAATAAGCCACATGAGTTTGTTTCCCATTTAAAAGAAGGGACGAGCTAAGAAAAAATAAAGTTAGAATATCTTTAAATGTTTTAACATTATAAAGTCATTCAGAAAAGACTGCATATGGTATGATTTAAGAACTGCATGCCTAATAAGCACATTTCTTGGCATATCCCTAACTGCCACACAGAAAAGATAATCGTACAACAAAAATATATTCTGAAGTAGTTTTTAAAAACCTCACAAAAACTCAAACAAAAGTATACCCACAACAGAAAAAAAAAAAAGAAAGAAAGAAGAAAGCTTCCATCCCAGTGTGTTAATTTAATATATCAGGTCTGATGCCTGCGTATGAACTTGCTTTACTAAAGAGATTACAAAAAAAGGAAGACATGGTCCCAGCTTATAAGGTGATATTCAATACGGGACACAGCTACATAAACAAATAAACAAAATGTAAGTCAGATTTAAACATGTTCCTTAAGGACACTGTTGGAGTGATGTCATTTTTACCAGAAGATAGAAAAAGAAAAGTTAAAGCCTAGAAAATCCAACTTGACATTTTATCAGTATTTTAGGCCTCTTAAAATTTGAGATAAACTATTTTTGTAAAGTCAAAGATTGTTGAAATATTAAGGAAGAAAATAGCTTATACTTCAGAGACTTATTGTATGAAAGAAAAACCAATCCCAAAACAAAACTTAAAAGCTTTTGAGCCTCCTCTTCCCATAAGTTAACTATGGCATCTCAAAGTCAGTGCTGGTTAAGTCAGTGTAGAATGGTATACTTTGTTGTATAATTGACTATATGATGTATTTTATTTTTCCAAAAATTATTTGATATCAGTCTTGCTTATCCATCACTGAAAAAATTTGCACAGACGATATTGCATTCTAAATATGCCTCCTAAAGTATATTCTGTATTTTTCTATCACTGTTGCAAGAATCATAAGAAAAATAAGCATTTAGTCATTCTTACCAACCACAAAGTATTACCCACCCAGCAAGTTAACAATCAAGATAAAATCATGAAAAAGCCAAAACTCATCATAATACCATGCTTAAGAGATACCACCTTCATAAAATAAGTTCTGAAGTATAGGTCACTGGTCCAACTTTGTGATTTGAAGTGTACCAGAACACCCAGATCTACAGCCATATTGAGAACCTATACTTTAAAAAGATGACTGGTAGAAATAACTTAGGTGAGAAGCAAAGTATGCAGATATAGCTACATTATAGATACTAATATATTTGTATAATAGATATTTCTATTAGCATTTTGTCAGAATCAAGGTAAAGAACTTGAAAGAAAAATAATTAAAGCTAAGTAAAAATCAATTATTACCTAGTAACTTGTGTCCCAGTTACATTTTCCAGCATGTCACACAGCGTGAGAAATATCCCTCTCACACTTTTAAGTTTCTGAGATGCATCAGACACTGGGTAATGATAAAGAATTTCTTGCTGTTAAATGAAAACAAACAAACAAACAAAAATGATCACACTCCTCAAATTTTCCAGTCATTATTTTTTTGTCATGGAAAGTTCAGTTTGTATTAAGAAAAGAACAACAATAAAAAGAATCTTTTCAGTTTCAGTAGTTTTACTCAAACATAAGAAGAGATATATGCTTAGAATTTTAACGCAGTTGAAAATATAAGTTAGAGACTGTCAAAATTGGTCATGATGTCAAAATATATACTGAATAGGACACTAATTAGTTGGAATAATTTCAAACAATGTTTTAAACTTTAATCCCCTTTACAATAAATTCTAATATGAATATTTTATTTATTTCATTATACAAATATTTTTACACATATGGTATCTATGTAGATATCATATGTAACTTTTAGGAGTCCTTAAATTTAATTACTTTCATACTGACTTTAAAAGGATCATCTTTGTAATTTTGGTGAATTTGTTAAATTATTAAATCTTTATGTAACCCCAAAACAATACTGAAATTAAAAAGTGAGAACACAAAACTACATTAGAGTAATGCAGATAGGAAGAAAGAAACATTATAATATTATAAATTTTGAAAGGGTTTTCCTACCACAAATTAATCTGAATGAAGTCTTTAAAAAACAGCACATTTTAAATTATGTAAAATACTAGATCTATAGGATAAATCTCAGAATGCTTACTACTTTTCAATTTTCAAGAAGAGCCTGTTCCCAGGAAACATGAAGTTTTAACAAAATAACAAATTTCAAAATCAGGATGTACACTGTGCTAGAACTTTTACCAAAGGGATGAATCATTCTGGACCTCACTTTTTTGCTGTTACTTAAAGCAACATGACATTTTTCTTACAAGGCAAATAAAAAGCAGGCAAAATACAAATTTCCAGATAGAAACCTTGGAGAATTCAGAGTAGTTTCCACTAATACTGTTTAATGGCAATATGCATAAATATTAATAGAGCCACTATTGAAAGCCCAAACTCTTATAATATTATCAGATATTTTCCTTGGTTCTCTCTCTAAGACTGTTCTACTTCTTGCTTTGGTCTCTTTTTACAAGAAGTAATTATGTGACATGGTATGTATATCTTGGCAACTTTTACATTAGGACAAATATAAATAATGACAAACTATACACATCTGCTTTTTGTGCTTATTAATAAACACATTCAATATATGCAAATTGCTATGGAATGTGTTGGCCATACACTCTGCCTAACAACTCAAATCTTCTTGCAATATTTTTAGTGTAAAAACAGTTAAACACTTTATCTCTAGAAATTAGGTCAAACATCAGTTAAGATCTTCTGTTATGTCTACTTATACATTTAAAACTTTGCTAGTCAATAAATGTATTGTATGTAGCCAAATAACAAATACCACTTTAAACAAATAACCATATTTCCTTTGATTCATTTTGTGAAATTTCCAAATCATCTAATTCAAAGAAAAGAAGCATTTCTTAGATATGTAACTCACAGGAAAACAAAATGACCCTATAACATCTTATTGTAAGATAAGTCATACCAGTAAAGAAAGGTCCTTTGAGAAAACCTCTATGCCAACTGCTGCAGAACCAGTCTGGAAAACCTCACTGTTAACGCCCCAGCAAGCTCTACAATTCCTAACCAATTTAATTAGCTGTATTTTTAAGCACTTGCTAGCAGCATGCATTTGCAGCAACTCCCACTCTATTCAATGAGAATAAAAAGCCTCTCTTGATCACAGTGTTGATACAGGACTGTCAACAGACTGAGAAACATCTACACACTTTCCCATGGAAAGAAAGGCAAGGATGACAAAAGGCCTCAGCAGCATCCTACTCTCAGACAACCTAGAAAGAGGCAGAGTGCTACCATCTCAGAAACTTAGTGTGTGTTTTACACAATAAATGGTTAAACTTCTCATTTGTTTTAAAGATATAAAGGACTAATCATACATGCAAGAAATTAGAATGATTAACTCTAGGTCTCTAGGCATTTCAGAACAGAGAAAATAATAAAAATATGTATAAGTAAATCCCTTCTTTTCCTTTTGAATCAGTGACTAAATTTTGATATATGAAGAAAGCAACCCAGGGAAATACACCCCTTGTGTAAAATGGCTTTGGCACTGAGAATACAGACTGCAAAGATTTCAAAAGCAAAGAAATGCAAATTAGGTAAAACCTAATTTTAGATCCCACTTCTGCTCCAAGCATTATGGTACACTAGATGCTCTAAGCGACTCTTGTGTTATAAAACAACTAGATCCATGACCAAAACATACTTGTTTGAACTGCTGGATATGTAAGAAGTAGAGGGTTTCCAAGGACACCCTCTCCATACCCTTCCATACCCGCTTCCCCACCACTGCAAAGCAAGCTGGGGCCTCAGCTGGGAGTGGTGGGCAGAAAGGCAGAGGCAGGGCTGTCCTGAGGGCTGATGCCTACCATATTTGATCAGGACACTGAGCACTGGACTAGTGGCTCAGTAGATGAGCTAGGCCTAAGACCAGTGTGTTACACCTAGATCCTTGAGTAAACCCCAGGCTAGTGGCAGAAGCAGAAGCAGCAAATTCTCTCTGAAGGAACACATTCCCACTTTAGAACGTTAGGACTCCCAAAGATAAAATCAAGCAGTAAGTTTCACCAATGATCTCCAAGGACGTAGGAAGACAAGTCACCACAGTCAGAGTCCCCTCAGGACTTAGAGATAGTGGAATGGGTAGATTCAGAGCAGAGAACTCTGTATGAAATGCTTAGAGAAATAAAGTATGGAATCACTAAGATGAGCAAGCAACAGGAGACTACCAGGAACAGCACTGTAGATCTGTATGCGTATAGTTAGAAAATTTTCAGAAACTCCTAAAAATAAAACTGTAAATATTAAACACAATGGAGAGGTTAAAAAACACTATGGACATAGCAGAAGCTATAATGAAGAAAGAAAATAAAAGATATGTCTTACAGAGGAATGACTGACAGTAGACTTAACAGCAATTATGGAAGTCTGAAGACAAAGGAATACTATCTTCAAACAGATTAGAGAAAAAAAATCACTTTTTACCTGGCTGGCATAAGCAATACCATGTCTTGACCCCATCTTCTTCCTGGCCATACAGGAAGACTACATTTCCTACCTCCTTGTATCAGGAGAGAGCATATAACTAGTTCTAGGCACTGGAACATGAGCAGAAGTGATGTTGCTACTTTGAAGCCAGGCCTCTGAAATATGCCAGATGTTACGGCATGCTTCCACTCTTCTCACATTGGCCCACTGGATGCAACAGAGGACTGGGAAGCTCTTGGGAAGAATGGAACCACTAGAGGAAGGGCTTGGATCACAGAGCCACACAGACAGGAACGTTTACATTGAAATGAGAAATAAACTTCCATTATGTTATCACTGAGACAAGAGGGTTGTTTATTATAGCGACTGGCCTATTCTGACTAATACAAAGTAGAATTATAAAACTACCTTTCAGGAAGGGGTGAAAAACACATCAACAGATAAATAACAAAAACAATTTATCAGGAACAGACTTTCACTAAAAAGAAATTTCTAACATATATGTTTTAGGAAGAAGAAAAAAAATACCATGTATGGACAGTCTAAGATGTAAGAAAGAATGGTGAGTAAAGAAATTGCTAAGCATATATGTAAATTTAAAGAAGGTTTATCTCTGAAATATGTAATTTTATAATACATGATTTATATATTTTTATAAAGTATAAAATATAATAATTATTAGTAATAATAGTATAATTATGCTAATTTGTGGAATTAAAAAAAATGATGGCACTAAGATATTGATGACAATAGCATGTAGGTGAAGAGGGGGATGATTGAAATTAAGGCATACTAAAGCCTTGAATTATTTTGAAAAGCGATGCAGATAGTATTTAACTTTAGAATCTTGTAAGACAAATGCGATAAAAAGTTAAGAGTAATCACACATAAAAAGAGAACAAGAATAATGATACAAGCAACCCAAAATAGGTAAGGAAATATCATAGAAACCTGGCCAGTGTGGCTCAGTGGTTGAGTGTCCACCTATGAACCAGGAGGTCACGGTTTGATTCCCAGTCAGGGCACATGCCAGGGTTGTGGGCTCGATCCCCAGTAGAGGGTGTGCAGGAGGCATCTGATCAATGATTCTCTCTCATCATTGATGTTTCTATCTCTCTCCCCCTTCCTCTCTGAAATCAATATATATTTCCAAATATGTATTATGGAAAATCAGTTCAAACAGAATTTTTAAAGAAGACAGCAGAAACAAATTCAAGTATTTCACTAATCTCTACAAATGGACTCACTGAGCTTGTCAGTTAAAATTTACTGCAATTAGAAGAAGCAAGAGACATACCAAAAACATATGAAGACAGAATGACTGAGAAAAGTGCTTATTCTTCACTCGGAAGACTATACAAGGTCCTCTGTTTTCCCTGCACTTTTGAGAAGACTCACCTCCTCCTTTGAGGTCTCGGAGTCCAGCTCTAGTGTGAGATACATAACCACGTGAGGGGTGTTTAGTACATTCTGCTGGTTACCTTCAATCTCTTCTCCCCATAGAAGTTTGACTAAATCACCTTCTGTTTTCGATTGTGCATTTTTCTGTCTTGGTTGAGTCGTTTCCTTTTTCACAGCATATGCATTTTCTAATGTCAGCTTCACCTTTAAAAATTAAAACAATGCGTTGATGTTTCAACAAGAGAAAATCAGCTGCACCTTTCGAAAAGGAGGCTCTGTACCTGCACATACACTCAGGTACACACAACATGCAGAGACATCTTCCTACAGCATGGGCTCCCCGGTTCCTAGCCCAGTGTCCGGCACACAGTAATACAAATATTTATTGAGCAAGAATGTATAATTCTCTGTTCAAAAATTCATTTGTTTAACTTAATAATTGTATTGTAAGTATTGACACCAAAAACAAGAAATGACACCAAAAACAAAAATTAGTGTGATCTGACAGTGTAATAAAGACTAATACCACATTATGAGCACTGACTCCTCTGGGGAAAATAAAGGAGATCCGGGATTAAAAGCAACCTCCAGCTCTGGCTAGTGTGAGTCAGTGGTTAGAGTGTCGGCCTGTGCACCGAAGAATCGCAGGTTCCATTGTTGGTCCTGGGCAAGTGTGGGAGGCAACCAATGTGTCTCTTTCACATTGATCTCTCTCTCTCTCTCTCTCTCCATCCCTCCCTCTCTTCCACTTTCTCTAAAAATCAATGGAAAAAATATCTTCTGGTGAGGCTTAACAAAAAAACAAAACAAAAAAAGCAACCTCCAGAGTTAGTGGCCCTTTCAAGTGAGGTGAGGTTCAAATGTTCTCTCAGACATTCTTTGTGGTCCTTTAAAGGCTCAGGAGAGTAAAGAACAATCAACGTGCTGGATCTTGGATCATGGCCTAAATAAGATCATCTATCAGTTTTATCATGCAGTTTTCATTTCATGGCCTGATGTCCAACCAGTTTGGTAAGCGTCCAGGACATGGCCTTTTTCCAGCTGTTGAAAGGAGCTTCCACTCCTCAATTACCTTTCCTTGACAAAGGAGCTAAGTGTCTAGATGCCCGCTGGCCAAAGATAACTCACTCATTTTAAAGCATCAGTGTGTATCTTGACTAAAGAAGTTAAAGAATATTTAAATACCGGATTCGTGCACTGGTGGGTCCCTTGGCCTGGCCTGCGGGGATCTGGTTGAAACCCACTCTCCGACATTCCCCTGAGGGGTCCCGGATTGCGAGAGGGTGGTTCTCGGGTGACACACTCTGGAATCGGGCTCCCTCCTCTCTGGTTCCAGGTGCGTCACCTGAGAACCTCAGCTGCCAAGTCACCACAGCTCAGCAGCTCTTGCATTGAGCGTCTGCCTCCTGGTGGTCAGTGCATGTCATAGCTACCGGTCAGAGTGTCTGCTCCCTGGTGGTCATTGTGCATCATAGCTACTGGTGGGACAGTCACTTAGGCTTTTATATATACAGACTAAAGGCCCAGTGCATGAATTCGTGTACCAGTGGGGTCCCTTGGCCTGGCCTGCAGGATGGGGATGAAACCAGCTCTCCGACATCCCCTGAGGGGTCCCGGATTGTGAGAGGGCACAGGCCAGGCCGAGGACCCCACCGGTGCACAATTGGGGCTGGGGAGGGACACGGGAGGTTGGCCAGCTGGGGAGGGACCATGGGAGGGCTCCAGGGCATGTCCGGCCCGTCTCGCTCAGTCCCCATCGGCCGGACCCCAGCAGTAAGCTAACCTACCAGTAGGAGCATCTGCCCCTTGGTGGTCAGTGCACGTCATAGCAACTGGTCAACGGGTTGACTATCTGCCTCCTGGTGGTCAGTGCACATAATAGCAAGTGGTTGAGTGGCCTTAGCATATCAGCAGCATATTACGCTTTGATTGGTTGAACGGACGACCAGACACTTAGTATATTAGGCTTTTATTATATAGGATACTTAATTTTATGTAGCAGGGACATCATCATAAGCTAGAGAGGCACAAAATATTCCTATTTAAAATTGACCAGACTATAGATGAGTAAAGCGAACATTCTAAGTGTAATAATCCATAACATTTTAACATTAAACACTAACATACAATGATTATTTTAAAATTAGATTACATTTTAAAAGTAAAAAAAATAAATTCATGCTTATCAAGAAAAATGTCTGCTCAATATGTGTATATTAAGTTTATTGTATACTTTAAAAAATTACATTGTATAACTTAGATATATACAATTTTTATTTGTCAAGCATACCTCAGTAAAGCTGGGGGGGAAGAAGCCTGCTCAATATTTAAAAACAGATAAAATTGTTTGTACATAGTAAATTGCATTTAGGGATAAAATATCTAAAAACTATTATCAAGACAGTAGTAATCTCTATTTTTAGAAATGTATTATAAGAGGTACTATTTTCAAGGCCAACTTTAAATATATGATAAATACTAACACATTAGGAACTCTTTTTAGTAATGAGCTTTATCTATTTATATATTTTTATTAAAAATGTGAAGCATGTTATTTTAAAAAATTCATTCATAATCACACCAGCCCATCCAACAACTGTTTGCATTATACTATAAAATAAATCTGCCCCAATGAATAAAACCTTCCAAAAGAAAAATATCTAGATGTCTTCTTTTTTGTTGGCAAGGAGCGACTATGACTGTGTTAAATTTTGCTATCTGTAGCTATCTGTGGCATTTCAGGGGCACTCAGTTATCTTTGTCTACATAAAGTCAATTAAGTCACATACGCATCTTTTCTAAAATAAGTCTCAGAGTTTATTTTAGTAACAAGTAGAAAAGAAAAGAGTCATGAAGTCTAAATTCATTAATATGTATACATTCAGAATAAAGATAAACTAGGTCACAATTAGCAGTAATCTGTATAGAGAGCAGGAGGGGAGAAATCCCTCATGAAATTTTTCTGAGGCCTGGTGATACCTTTCTTTACAAAACATTTAATATCATTCCAAATGGAAAACATCAAACTTTATTAAATTTTTTGTTTTCTGTAAATCTGATATTGAGAAATGGACCCTTGATATTAGAACACTGTATCAAAAAAGGCTGAGTATAAAATTAGCATATCTGGGGGAGGGATATTAAGCAAACTAAACAAAAATATAAAAAAATTACAGATCCTATATGGGAACAATCAAAATTTATCTGATGGAAATTAATATATGGTTAAGGTAAGGAAGAGTTGAAGAGACATTGTTTTAGGAATGATCTTAGAAGGATATAAAAAACAGTGTTTGGTATGAGGTTTTGACCTAAACAAACAACATGTAAACATTATATGGCCTGAAAAACTATTTTATGAGGGTGGTATCTGTTCCCGTGGGTAATGCTCTCAATATCTGTATGCAAGAATAAAAATATAAACATGAAATCCTTGAGTAAGGATCTGATGAAGCGAATGGCCTGGGGGTCAGGAAGTTCTTTTATCAGAGATTGAGAATTTAGGAGTATCCAAAACAGAATATATGGGAGCCTTTGATGATGTTCCTTGGAAATGCAAGAAATCTAGAAATTGGGGAAATTCTGAAGCACAGAATTTGTGACAAACTAGATGGGAGCTTTGAAGACTGTTCCCCCGGACACTGGGTTTGGGGGAGGAGTGGCTAGGAGGGGGAGGAAGCTGGTTGCAAGAGCAGGAGATGAGTGACATCCTAGGGAAGCAGGCATCACAGAGACAGGCCACATGGGCTGGAGCGTCTGTGAGAGCTGTACGTCTTTTCTAGCTGAGATTCTTGTAGGTGGAGAGGTCAAAAGCTAGGGCGTGATTCCCCAGAAATGACAAAAGGAAATGACTTAAAATAACAATTCACCAATTTTACTTTAGGCAGCAACAGCAACCTAAAATTTAAGGCTGGTTTGCTATGCTTCATGAAGAACAAGATACTTGAAAACCAACGTTAATGTTATACTTGGCACACACCAGCACTTTTTTCCTGTGGTACACAGACCTTTCCCCCTTACCATGACAAAAACTTAAACCAACACACACCACAGAACCATCCATTAAAATTCTTTAAGGAACGATTTTAGCCAGCATTCTTCCGATTTAAGTAAAGTTGGCTCTATATTTCAAAGATAATTATACTTTAGCAAGACATTTTGAAAAAGCTTACATGTTAAGTAGCTATAAATGTCAGGAAATCTGGTTGCCTTGATGAAATAATAAAGGGTGAGATAGATAACCAAGTGAAGAGTTAAGAGTTAGCTATTTTTAAAAAGGGGGTTGATATATGTAAATATGAGGATATTATGTTTTATGGGGAAAAACTTTTATTAAGAAACATTTAATATAAGGTAGTTTATATGAAGCTTCTCATAAAAAAAGATTCCTGTTGTTCTTTCATAGACATTCACCTATGACACATTTCATGGTTCCTCATTTCCTGTCTCCCTCAAAACTGTTTCTGATTGGTGCAATTTGCCCATCCTTCCTTTCCTCCTTCTCTCCCAGTTCAGGAGAGGATGTGTCTTTCCTCAGGTCTAGGGACGTGCTCACTGTAACTCCTCACTTCCCAAATCTTGTTGCTTTAATGATCCCCTCTCTCTACTTCTATCTCCAACTCACACCATTTAACAAGCAAACTCTCTCCTTCTTGGTCCTGTTCTCTTGGGCAATCTCACTGAATTACTGAGTACAGAACCTGGAAGGCATCTTGGACTCCTCTCTGTCCTCCCACATGACTTAAATCTAATCTCCTCCTCTTCCATATCCCCAGCCAACGCCTCACCTCAGGCCTTAATCACCTCTCTTTTGGACCACTCTGAAGCTGACCACCTGGTTTCCCAACCCCCACTGCCATCCAGAGCGATACATTCCTAAAATGCAAATCTGCTAAACTTCTAGCACTTTCATTTTACATTTCCAAAGATAGATAAATTTATATAGAGATAAAGTGCGAGGAAGGGAGAGAGAGAGTTTTAAGAGAAGGCAGTGAACATAGAGAAATCTTTTTTTTTTTTTTTTTAAAGAAAACAAGGGATTTCCATCATGGGTTCTATTGTGTCAAAGTCTCAAGTTAGATGCAGATAAGATTCTGATTTATCAGGGATTCTGCTCATCCCCATCAATCCCAAAACTGCTTCACGCTCTCTCTCACCTAACAGAGTCTCTAACCTACCTGAAGCACATCATCCTCCCTAGCCCTCAAAAGAGAAAGCGAATTCCTAATGCTAACAAGAGCAGAGCATTCATAAATATGAGGTATAGCACTTTCAAAATACCTGAAATGACATTTTCAAATGACCTGAAAATGTCATCTCTGACACAGAATATCAGTGCTTTGAGTAGCAAAATAACATTACAAAAAAGTTTTATTTTTACCTATAATGAATGGAAGGTAATTCATTACTTAGCTAAACAAAAACTCAGGAATAAGGCTAAACTAGATAACAGAAAAATCAAGAAAATAGTATGGTTTAAAATAAATAAATAAGGAAAGAAGTAAGTAAATAAATAAATAATAAAAGGCACAGGAAAAACTTGATAGCAATAATGACTGTGGTAAGTCAGAGCAGAGAAAGTTCCAGGACTGTTTAGAATGACTTTTCCAGGAGCAGGAGTTCCATCAGCACATAGGGTAGTTATAATGGCTGACTGGTCATTGCATATGTATTTATTATTGTTCTTCTTCCTCCTTTACTGAGGATGAGCTTCACTTGTGGATATGATTCTCTCTTTTAAGAACAATCTCCAAAAGCTAAAAATGTTAACAAGATCTAAATATTTTAAATACCCAAGTATGTAAGAACTCCTCCATTATACACGATAATTTCCAGAATCTTAAAACAAAAAGAAAATAGCACAAGATGCACTCATCTTATGTTAATTCATCATAACACCCAGACAAAGAACGTCCATACCTGCATAGGCCCAGGAATGCAGGACAGAACTCTCTCTATGTTCTCAGAGGTCACATCAACATCGTTCACAGCAACAAGGACATCACCTGAGAAAAGAATAACAATAAAAGATAGTTGTGGGAATATCCCCAAACCAAAAAGACCTAGAATTGGAACATTAAAAACCACCTATTCTGACCTCTTTAAAGTACAGTGGAAAATATGGTCCAGACATTCAAGGGCTTGTCCAAGGCGAAAAAGCTCACTAGTGGCAGAGCTAATCTTCCATTCCACTCTTTCTTAAACTACAATACAGACCAACATTGTACTGCGACTGAATACAACCCATGAATATTATAGAGATGAATATTCTCATTTTTTATACCATCGGGAGAATTATGTAAAGCCAAAGGCCAAATGGAAATCTGCAGCATAAACCAAGTATTGCACTTAACAAAACTGAATCTAACCACTTATACCCACAGTGAAAATATTCAGCTGAAATTTTAATTAAATACATGTGGTACGTCATAACTCAATATGCTGTGAATTCACTGTTATTGATCTGTGTCTACACATAGCTCTTTTTTTCAAAGGCCCCACAATATCGGAACCCATCGCATGTTTGGTAAAAATTTCCTTTGCTGTGGCTTTTCTTTAAATGTGTATGTTTATAAATCTGGGGGGATTAATATAATAAAGATCAATCTTAAAATGGAAATTTACATTCACAACATAATTAAAGGTAATATCAAAACACCAATAAGTTATATAATAGAAATATATACATAATAAGGTTCTCATCATATTTAAATATATCATTATGAAACTGATCAGTAATTCATATTCATCCATTAATTAATCCAATGAATATTTATTGAGCACCTACTGTGTGCCAGGCACTGCAGATAGAGAATTGAATTAAACATACCAAAATCGCTAAATAGAGCTTAATACTCTTTGGGGAAAATGGATAATAAACATATATATGGATAAAATAGTGTTGATAGACAATTTTTCATCGGTCTCCCATGTTTTGTCCATCTTGCAACCCAAGGCACTGAAAGTCTTTGTTCTGGATTATCTTTTCAAAGATGTTTGTATAGAGAACAGCCTTGGATGACGGAGATAGTGTCTCTCTCCAGAGCAAAGGTCAAGTCTGTTCAATGTGCAGTATAATAAGGATAGTGTCTCCCTCAATATCTTATTATTAATAATTGTTCTTTATAGAAGATTCATCTTCCCTAAGGTCAAAGTTCCTCTCCCTTTAATGCAACTCACTATAGGTATGTGTTGAGGTGTCACCTGGCCCTCTTCATGTCACCCTGGGAATGAGGATTGGGGAATAGGTGAAAATGCTGTTCTTTTAGCTACTGTTACTCCTCTCTCTCTCCCCTCTCTGCTTCCGCCCTTGCTCTCCTTGACCTTCTATCACATGGGGAAAGGGTTAAGTGCAGAGTGAGCAGGTGGGATTCCTTAGGTCATTATGTGATGGTTTTCAATGGCCTGTACTAGGTTCAGATGCTATTCACTTCACAGCTCTGAAGGTGTGGGCACTGAGTCACTATGATGGTCAATTACTGAAGCACTTTGAGCAACCTGGTAACTTTTCTTAAAAGAACTTGTAAACTAAAATAAACTTCCAACTTCAGTTCAACCTGGGGAAGAAAAAAGCAACATCCCCCCCCCCCCATTTTTTAAAACAGGAGACAAGTGTACTATATCAAATTATTTATAGCTGCAGTGATTTTTTTTTAAAGAAAAGGAACAATGAATAATATCAGAGTATTGATGCAAAAGAAACCCACTTCTGGACCATTCTATCCAGGTGTTCTGTTGTCCATAAGATGATCAGAACACCTAAATGGTGACCCCATTTAAAACTTGTTCCTTTAAACTCAAACTCCACTGGAAAATGTCCCAAATAACTTTTTCCCCCAAATCCTAATGGATACAGTTCTGCAGTTGAGTGTTTTAGGGAGTGTCACCTGAAAGCATCACACTTAAGAAACCTCTAAAAGTGGGAGACACGTATCGTCATAAAATATATGAGAATAAATTTTAGAGCAAGTGTAGTAAAATCTTTTTAAATGTTTAGTAGAAAAAATTTCTTTCTATAAGAAAGTGTTACATCTACTTCTTATTCTCCCAGATACTTGTTTTCCTCAAGTTTTTCCGAGCACTTCCGTGAAGGGACTCAGGCTTCCTGGACCTCACAGCACTGGCAGCCTGAGCTGGGAATTGCACTATGGCCTCCTGGTTCAGAGATGGGGGCTTAACCACTGCGCAGCACTGGCTGGACTTCCATTCGCTCTGGTCTGGGGGTGGGGGTTGGCTACAGGAGTCCAGGAGCTACCAGCTGACTGTCAAACTTGAAGAAAAACCCAGGAATAGAAATCTAAAAAATAAAGTGCAAGTCCTTGGCAGAAGGAACAGCAAAATGGCACCTAAAAAGGCAGCAAAACTTCCAAGACCCCAGCAAAGAAGAATCAGAATAGAGATCTGCTGTCTTGAAAGGAAAGAAGGAAGCCATCAGTCTCACTGTGCTAACCAAGCACGTCAGTCAAAGGAGGGTCCTTCTCCTGTTAGACGAAGGCAGCTACGCCAGCAAGCTCCATCACCCGGGCAGTTTTCAAGATCCTCCGTCCTGTGGGTTACCTCACAGTTCAACCACAGACCGCAGCGTGAAGGGAACTATGACAAATTTCCATCACAGAAGTGCTTTGTGGGATTAGCAAACCCTCTATGACATTGAAATAGTCTGCTCTTTATTCCTAAAATACATAACTTTAAAAACACAGAACATAACCATAACAAAAACTTTTGAAAAAGCAGAGAAAACAATCACCCATACTGTCCCTATACTAACCCAACACTATTAGCACTTGTTGTATTTACACTGACTTCTAATTATTCTCCCTGTACATTTTCTTTTTATATAGTTACCTATGTGCTGCATAACAAATCACCCAAAGACTCGGTAGCTTAAAGCAACAATCACGTTTAACTATGTGCGTACTGATTTATTGTGGTCGTCACTTTGCAATTATACAAATGTCGAATCATTATGATCCCACCTTTTAAGTAAATCACATAGGACCACATAAGCTGTAGTCACAGGCCCACCCAGATTCAGAGGGCTGGGTGGGGAGAGACACACAGACTATAACTCTCTGTGGGACAAGGATCAGCATGACATTGTAAGAAGAGAATGTGGGGATCTCGTTGCAACCCTTTGTAACACACACTTGGTACAGGTGCCCTTCCTACTCGAGTCCTCCTTGCAAACCCCTTTCATGGCACTTACCACACTGTGTGAAACTGTCGGCCTATTTCTGGCCCATCTCTTCCACTACAGTATGAGCTCCACAAGAGAGCATTTGGACCATTAATTTTTGTGGTCCTGGCACCTGACAGTATGAGCTCCACAAGAGGAGCATTTGGACCATTAATTTTTGTGGTCCTGGCACCTAGCAACAGATGCCCAAATAATTATTTGTCAAGTCAAATTCAGACATAATAAAAATATGTTTTTAAATGTTTTTAAAGTATCAATAAAAGTTCCTTTATCTAAATCTCTGAGGCTAGATCAACTTAAGACTGCCAGCTTTTAGCATTGCTAATACCGTTAAGTTTTACTAATAACATATTCTCATCTGTGTCTAATTTATTTATAAGTGATAAAATTACTACTAACTCAAACATTATCTAAAACAGCTTAAAATGTATCACTAACACAAAATGCTCATCTTAGTATATATTCAGAAAAACTTGTGGGTTTATTTTTTTCCCCCTCCAAATTGGTGGATGTTTTATGGCAAGCACCCTTAAAGGGAAATTTATGTACACCACCACTGCTGTTAAACATGCCAAATGAAACAGTTAAAACCATTCCAAGATCTCAGTGCATTCAAGGGCAAACATACAATTTTACAGTTCTTTTATTCATAAAATTATATATTTTTGTATAATGTTATTGGACATGCCATTCAACCCTAAATTATCCCTGTACAACCAACTTATTTTCTTTTACTTTTCAGTAAATATAACCAAGATGACCAAGTTATATCATTCAAAACTCAGAAATTAGTTAAGCTGTCCCCTGGCCTAAGCAAGGCATACAAACATAGTCCAGGCACTAAAGCGTTTATTTTCAGAACACCGTGCCTGGCTTAACAATTTCACCACCCTTAACAATTTCACTACTGTCCCAAATATCGTCAGGGTGTCCTTAATCTGTTAAGACCCTGGCTATAATTCTGTTTTGATCGTGTTCCTCACTGGCATCTTTAATCCCGTGTCTCAGCAAACAAGACCTGATGTTTAGCCACAGCACTTACCAATTAACACCTGACCACTCTTCATGGCTGATCCTCCTGGCAGCAGGCCATGGACCACCAGCCTCTCCCCACCGGCCTGCTTCCCGGGTCTTCTCCAGCTCCACTTGGTCTGATGGATGATCCCAACCAGCACTTCCAGAAGCTTGAGCTGCTCTTTGGCTTTGGTGACTGTTAGCTTTTTGGGGTTTACATAGACAGTGACATCTTTGTACCTCTGCTGAACAATGACTCCTGTTTTCTGATTGGACTGATGCTTTAGAATGGAGACCGGCCCACTATCATTGCTCTTTTTTTTATTATGGCGCTTGGGTAAAAGTCTTCTGCTTCTTAAAATTTTGGTAAACCGCTTGAGTTTGGGTTCATACTTTTTTCCTTCTTTGTAATCATCCTCTTCAATAATAATCTCATTTTCACTGAACCTGACGTGATTCACAACAGGTGTCTCAGGAAGGAGGCTTTCTTCTTCGTCCTCACTCAGTTCCAAATAAAATAGCTCTCCATTTTTCTGCACACTGTCCAGCCATTCAGGCTCAAGGTCACTATGAAAAAAAAAATAGAAAATATAGATAGCAGCCAAACATAAGAAAAAGTTATGCCTGTCTAGCACAGGGGTGCGCGTAGGAGCAGGGAAATGGGAGATAGAAAAGTTATTTGATTATTAGAATCTCATTATTTCTAGTAAGTGAGTACCAAGGGTTTTTTTTCTGGAGGATGCTTTTTGTAGAGCCTTGAAGAACAGGGGTTGGAGGAGAAATCCAAAAGATATAGTGATTGAAAAGAAAACAAATTAAAAAATGAGATGGCCCCCTTCTAGAATCTGAGTTTGTGTTTTTTTAAAAAAGAAATTAAGTTCAGCCCCTGTGTGGTTATTGTTCACATTAGACAATAATTTACATTACTAGTTGATCATGCATTGTATCCACAGATGTAAGCCATTTGGAAATTGTACATAAAAATATCCTATTTGCATAGAAATTTTTCAGCATGGCTGTTATGTTAAAATGAAAGCTAAAGACCAGTATTAATAGATGTTATTTATAGAGTAAATTTTCAAAACAGAAACATTCACTTCACCATGAATAAAAATCGTTGCTGAAAACCATTTATAATCATAGTTAATAATGATCACTTCTATAGCCTATAATTTCTGTAAAATCCCTTTTTATGAATAACTGTAGTAGGAAAAGTAAACCACATATTACATAGTTCATCATGTGATTGTAAAAGAGCTTTTAACTGGGAAGCAAACCATTGAAAGAAACAAAACTATTGCTATTAAAAATGACTAAAAAACAAAAAATACTTACCTTAAGGTAAAACACCTAATTACAAACTCTGCCCTATTCAATGTTATGAACACTTACCTTTCAAACTGCGATTCTTTAAAGCAAAACTGGTTCCAGTGGAAAAACTAACTAGTGGAGAGAGTCTTTTTAGAAACATGAGCTGTAAAATCCTGGCATGAAAGGGTATGATTTGTGTCCTAATCATTCCATCAGATAGAAGACAGTTTGGTTTTCTGAAGTATTAGCAACTCTCATTCTTTTTACTTAAAAATCTCTTTTTAAATACTATGAAAATCAATAAAAAAAATACACTATTCTGTTTGTTGTTCAACTCTGAAACTAACGACTGCCTTGGTCTGTGGGTGGTAATTAATACAGAATTTTTAACTGTGTAAGAAGAGTGGAAAAAGGTATAACTAGCCCCAAATATCAAAACTAGTATTTCATTGGCATTTGTTGGTTCTCAGTATGTGGCATCATTTTAGGCCATTAGCACCCACCACTTACTGCAGGTTATTAATCATATATTAGCTGTTCCAACCATCTCTACCTGTACCCACAGAAATCACTATTTCACAACCCCAGTCCTGCTCTGAAGGGAGAATCTAAATTTACATTTAAAATGTAAATACCATGATTATACACAATCACTTATGAAGATACATTATCAATTTAAACAATGAATGAATTTATTTGTTTTATAATCTCAAATCTCACCCTTTAATTTGGCGTATTATTTGTATTAGAGATATACGACCCAAAAGAAACATTTCTACCTTCTGTTAAATGTGAAGACAGTTTTATCTTAATCTCTAAAATCTAAATGTGAAACCACTTTTAATTATGATTTTAAGAGCCATGCTGGTGGGAAGGGGGGCGGGGGGGGGGGGGGGTTTCCGTGAGTGGTATTCAATTGTAAAGCAAATAAACAGTTCCAGGCACTGCAGCAAAATCTAGAACTACAATGATGGAAACAGCATTTCCTTCCTTTATCTAGTGGGGAGAGGGGCTGAGAAAGAATTCATGAAAATACACATGCTATGTACTAGAGAGGAGTCATCAAACTTAGCCAAAGGTTGAGACTGTGGTCAGGGGAAACTTCCTGGTGGATGAGACTCCAGAAGTGAGTTTTGAAAGAATAAGTGACCAGGAAGGGGAGCCTGGGGCGCTGAAGGGGAAGAAAAGAGATTTCCAAAGAGAAGGAATAGCATAAGCAAAAGCCTTGAGCGATAGTCTCCATGGCCTGTGTGGATAAAGCTAGGCTGTGGTGGCCCGAGTTTAATTCGTGAGATGGGGAGTGACAGAGGGAGTAGTCAAGTGCTAATTTTTTGAGGCCTCTGGACCACGGGAAAGGTCTTGGATTTTGTAGTGTAGGGCATTGGTAGGTTTACCTTTACATGTCAGATATCCTTGGATACGTCTACTTTGACAAGAAAACAAAAGAAGGATTTGAGGTGGACTCAAGAGATGAAACAAGGTAGAGGGCTTTTTCCATCATCCAGGCAGAGGTGATAATGAAGGCAATAGTAGAAAAAATGGAAATAGGAAAAACATTTAAGAAAAGCTTGAAAATCACCAGGACTATGAGATTGATTAGATGAGTGGATGACAGAGAGGAAATGATGGATGTTGACTAGATTTCTAGGTGGTGTCTATACTTTCATGCATCCTTTTATTTTTATTTTTAAATATATATTTTCATTGATTTCAGAGAGGAAGGGAGAAAGAGAGAGAGATAGAAACATCAATGATGAGAGAGAATCATTGATTGGCTGCCCCTGCACACCCCACACTGGGGATGGAACCTGCGACCCAGGCATGTGCCTTGACCTGGAATCAAACCATGACCTCCTGGTTCATAGGTCAATGCTCAAACACTGAGCCTCACATGCATAGTTTTATGTATACACTAGACGCCCAATGCACGAAATTCGTGCAAGGGGCTGGGCCCTCGCACCCTCAGCTTCGTCCAGAAGGTAGTCCAGAAGTACGTCTGGTCTAATTAGCATATTATGCTTTTATTATTATAGATATGCATAGACTCATTCTCCACAAATGGGGACATAATTACCATACACATTATCTTCCCTTCTTACCTTTCACTGACATAAACAATGTTAAAAATCTATGTTCTTATATAAAAACACATAGGGTTATTTTGTTATTGTTTTTAAAAAGTGGAGCCCAGCCAGTATGGTTCAGTGGTTGAGCATTGACTTATGAACCAAGAGCTTACCGGTTCGATTCTGGTCAGGGCACATGCCCAGGTTGCAGGCTCCCCAGTTGGGGGGTGTGCAGGAGGCAGCCAATCAATAATTCTCTCTCATCATTGATGTTTCTCTCCCTCTCCCTCTTTCTTCCTCTCTGAAATCAATAAAAATATATCTAAAAATAAATAAAAAGTGGAATGTGTATATCTATATACCTGTGTGTGTGTGTGTGTGTGTGTGTGTGTGTGTGTATATTTTTTTTCATTTATCACTTAACAATACAACTTAGAAACCCTTAATGGCTGCATTAATTGTCCAATTAGAGATGTAACACATTTGGTTATTCACCTACTGATAAGCTTTGTGTTCAGTTCCCTCCCCCCAACAATACAGTAACCATCTTTATGCGCATATACAGATCTTGACCCAAAAGAAAAGACCAATTCCCATGTCCAACAACAATGAATACAATCCATTTTCTTAACCTTTAGATAAAAAAAAAAATACTTCACTTTAAGATAGTGGTTCTCAACCTGCTGGCCCCTTAAATACAGTTCCTCATGTTGTGACCCAACCATAAGATTATTTTCGTTGCTACTTCATAACTGTAATGTTGCTACTGTTATGAATCATAGTGTAAATATCTGATATGCAGGATGGTCTTAGGCAGGGGTCCTCAAACTACGGCCCGCGGGCCACATGCGGCCCTCCGAAAACATTTATCCGGCCCGCCGGGTGTTTTTGCCGCCACTGTGTGCATAGGAATTTGTTCATAGTTGTTTTTTTAAACTATAGTTCGGCCCTCCAACGGTCTGAGGGACAGTGAACTGGCCCCCTGTTTAAAAAGTTTGAGGACCCCTGGTCTTAGGCGACCCCTGTGAAAGGGTCGTTCGACTGCCAAAGGGATTGCGACCCACAGGTTGAGAACCGCTGCTTTAAGAGGAAGAAGAAATTTTTAAAAAATTATAAGAAGGGAGATAAGCGAGACAAAAAAAAAAAAGATAGGAAATGAACTTAAGAGACTGCAACAGAAGGTGATGCATAAAGTGAAAACAAAATTAACCGAGAAGACACAGAGACCTTGAATCTTCGTGTAGCTACTCCCCATTCCAGGAGATGGACTTAATGCCATGCTTCCAAAGACCAGTGTGTGGAAAGTGAAAAACAGTAACCACAGCGAAGAAACCTGGCTGACATGACCTTAACTAAGAGGTGCAGGCTGTGAGAAACAAGGAAGGACTGAGAACTGTCACAGAACACCGGGCACTAAGGAGACTTGCTGACTAAATGCAACATGATATCTTGGATTAGATCCTGGGACAGAAAAAGGACATAGTAGAGGAATGGTGAAATCTGAAAAAAATCTGGAGTTTACTTAATAGTTAGGTACCAATATTAATTTCTTATGTGCTGAATAATGTGCCTGCCGCAGCTGTGCAAGATGTTATCCACTCAGGGGACCCACTGAAGGATATACAGGAACTCTGTACTATCTTTGCAACCTCGCTGTAAATCTAAACTTACTCCAAAATAAAAGGTTTACTTTTAAACAGGAATTAAATTCAGATTTTTGTAATACGCGGGTCACATATAGGCAACAACATGGATAAGTCTCAAAATAATTATGCCAAGTAAAAGAAGACAAAAAAAAATAATTGTCCATACTGTATGATTCAATTCTTATAGAACTCTAGAAAAGACAAACTCATCTCTAATGACAAAAAGCAGATAAGTGGTTGTAAGGAGTGGGGGACCTGAATAGTTTTAGGGAAGCACATGGGGAAACTTTTTTTTTCTTTTTGTGGGGAAACTTTTTGTTGTTGTTTTAATCCTTACTTGAGGCTATTTTTTTCCATTGATTTTCAGAGAGAGAGAGAAGAAGGGAGAGAGGGGAGGAGAGAGAGAAACATCAATGTGAGAAAGAACATCGATTGTTGCCTTCCGTACGAACCCCCAACTGGCGATCAACCCGAAACCTAGGTATGTGCCCTGATCAGGAATTGAACTGGAAACCTTTCAGTATACAGGATGATGCTCCAACCAACTGAGCCACACAGGCCAGGGCTCCAGTCATTCTTATTTTCAATGGAAGTTCCTCAGCTTTTTATAGCTAAATTATTTTTAAAAAGCATCCCAGTTTCTCTCAGTCAAGGCATTCAACCTAACAATACAAAAAGTCACCTTGAAAAATCAAAGATCTAAGTCATAAAATTGTTAACTTTGGCCAAAATGAACTAACAAATGTTGCTTCAATTAGTTGGATAATTGTAAACCAAAGCAAAGAATTGTGGCATTGCAAGTAAATGTATGATTTCTGTTATTTCAATACTGAAACTAGGCACTGGCTTCCTCAACCCAACCTACCCACCAATATTACCTCAGAAGCTTCCCGAGGGACTTGCCAATGTGCCAGGTTAAGATATACTGCAATAATCTAAAATTTTCCTGTTATACAATGTCTTAAACAAATCTACTAAAAGTATGTCACCGGAAAGTAACCAAATTAAACTTATTTTGTATTGACAATCTCATGTAGTTCAAACTGGTTTTAAGTTACAAAGCATGTATGAAATAATGATAATTTCCAGAAAGAATCCTATATAATAAAAGCCTAATATGCTAAGTGTCCGGTCAACCATTCAACCAATCAAAGTGTAATATGCTAATGATATTCGAAGGCCGCTCAACCGCTCACTATGATGTGCACTGACGCTCCAACCGGTAGGTTAGCTTGCTGCTGGGGTCCGGCTGATCCGGACTGGGTGAGACAGGCTGGACACGCCCTGGAGCCCTCCCGCAGTCCCTCCCCGGCTGGCTAACCCTCCCGTGTCCCCCGGCCCTGATCGTGCACTGGTGGTGTCCCTCGGCCTGGCCTGCACCCTCTTGCAATCCGGGACCCCTTGGGGGATGTCGTAGAGCCGGTTTCAACTTGATCCCACAGGCCAGGCTGAGGGAGCCCACTAGTGCACAAATTCGTGCACCGGGCCTCTAGTATGAAAATAATTAACTAACTAGAACCCTGAAAGTTCAGGATACTTTATGTAAGTCAATAAGCAGCATAACTGCCTTAAAACCTTCATATAGGCAATGAAAGACAATAGACAATATCTCTTAGCTTTGATGAGAAAGATTAGGTTCACCCCCTATTCCTTTGATCAAAAAGTTGTCCTGTCCAAGTTGGGAAGGCCACTTCTTGCTTTGGTGACTCTGCAGCTTAGGGAGATAAATAGCCAATGTCAAATGGAAGGAACAAAACTGCCAATCTGGTCAGTTCAACAAATCAACTCTCACATCCTACACACCAAGACTGGGCAGCCATAAAGTCTGAATCTTGGTTGGACTCAAAACATAGACCAGCAAAACATTTTACAATATAAGGATTTACTGTCCTTTTATGATCAGGAGAGTAAAGACAATGGAACATGGAAGTGATCACTGGATGACTGCTATAGAAAGCTTACCAACCACTTTTTAAAAAATTAAAATATATATATACATGTATTTTGAATTGTGAAATGCTTTGAAGTAATGATTTTTCCTAACACAAGGTCCTCAGATTGTTCGTTTCATAGGAAACAGATTAACTCATTTATCTTCATTCCACCAAAATCAGGGCGCCCCATTTCAAATAAGGTCTCCTAAATTACTACACTGACAATTCACAGTTGTATAGTTATGAACAAGTTACAGATTCGCTCTAGGCCAGTGGTTCTCAACCTTCCTAATGCCGCGACCCTTTAATACAGTTCTTCATGTTGTGGTGACCCCCAACCATAAAATTATTTTCGTTGCTACTTCATAACTGTAACTTTGCTACTGTTATGAATCGTAATGTAAATATCTGATATGCAGGATATATTTTCATTGTTACAAATTGAACATAATTAAAGCATAGTGATTAATCACAAAAACAATATGTAATTATATATGTGTTTTCCGATGGTCTTAGGCGACCCCTGTGAAAGGGTCGTTTGACCGCCAAAGGGGTCGCGACCCACAGGTTGAGAACCGCTGCATAGAGTATATTAAGCAGCCATAAGTGATGGTTTTCTCCATGATTCTAAAGACAATGATAAAAGTTTTACATACCTATGGGTGAAAATAATTGTCACTCCTAAATACATCTAAATACATATTAAATACTAGCAACTGTTATTCCTAACTACATATAAAATATCACCCTAAAACTGACCATACATGGCAGTCCATTAGGACATCGATTTTCACCGATGTGCCTCAAAAATTTTTAAAACATATAACTACTTAGTCAAAGGCACTGACTGCTTTTCCCTTAGATTGTCAAATTAAAAAAATGACAACAGCCAACACAATAGCCATCCAGTGCGAATGAATCAAAATTATACCTATTTTTTGTCAGATTGGCAAGAAAAATTTTTTTTGGAGTGCCACAGAATTTTAGTAATTGGCTGAGATGAAAACTGTTGAAAGCCGCTGCTATAGAAGGTAACTCAATCCCAACCAGTCAACACTCTGCAGTCCCCCAGCCCACGTGCACACTCTGGGCAGGGAAGGGATGGGTTTAATTGTCCCTCTTCCAGAACCTTACTCGTAATCGCTACTCGCAGACGAATAGGAACTTGAGTCGCTGGCCCTATCTTCACGATAACCATCCTCTTCTTCTTTTTGCGAAGAGGGGTCTCCAGGGAGCCCTTCCGGGCTCTGACACGAACCGCACAGAGCCGAAGACGCCATCAGTAAGGATGCTGCAGCCCAGAGCAGAGTAATTCAAATCCCGCAGCCAGCGCGCACCAGGGCCGCCATGTTTCCTCCGCGAGAGACGCGGTAGAGGCCACGTGACCGCCAATCCTCGGCTGCCATTGGTGGGAGCTCGGGTTGCCAGGGAGACGGGGAAGCTTCCCGGGACAACTACGAAGACTGAGAGGAGCCAATGAGCTGAAACTTCTGGGAGGGCGTGTCGGAGGACTGGAGTAGCTAAAACTTCCCCGCGCGAGGCTCTCCTGAGCGCACTGCTGCGAATCTGATTCAGTTACTAAGACAGGTGGAGAGCCACTCGGTACCCCCCACCCCATTTCTTCCAGTTTGCCCTTTGTTTCTGCGCCGAAGCTTCAGAGACGCTCGGTCTGCGTTTCCCTTGAGGTAAAGGAAAGTGCCTTCTGCCTTTCCTCAGGGCCTCTGCATCTAATCAGGGAATGGAAGCTAAGCAGTACCCTCCAGGTGTTCATGTAAATACGCGCCCTCGTTTCTTTGGTATTCTTATTGTTTCGCATTTGCAAATATTTTTATAGTTTTCTCAAGCAGATGTTGTAGACTGGTGCTTCACATCAAGGAGAAATGACTAGGTGTGTTTTTTTGTTTAATTTTTCCTCTTATACAAGGCTGAGCTGAAGCAAGAATTGCAACATAAAAGAATAAGTTTTAAGAAATGTTCTTTCACACTAGATATGTTTGAGGTATGTCAACTTCCTTGGCTAATTTATTTCTATATGTTAGTTTAATAGACAAAATGCCCCCCACACCCAAAGTTACCAGTTACCTTGATTTTTTACAAAAGAAATAAGTAGCAATCATTTAAAATTCTTATTTAAAATTTCAGGGCATGGTACTAGCTAGTCACATTTCTAACTTTATATGTCCTATTTGTACTAACTAAATTAATATTTAGCAACTTTAGGTGTATTGGAGAAGATGAAGAAAGGAAAAGAGTAAGATGCCATTTTCAGGGCCTTTTTAAACAATACTATTTTTGTCTGTTTTATAATTAGCAATTGCAGGAAGACTTTTTAAAAAAAGAGTTATACTGGGATATATTTTCATTTTCTATTTTCCACTTTTCAAATGACCAGCCATCTTCTGAGGCCCAAAAATGTTTAGTTTAATAAATATGAGACTTAAAGTTCTTATTTCCATAGATTATCATCTCCACTAGGCAAACAATACAATTCTGACATAAAATACACCAGATAAGAACATAATTAAATATTTAGTGTCTTTAGTAGGTTCAAGAGCTCATTCCCTAGGAGTAATAGAAGCTAGCATTAAGAAGTAAATGAAAACTTTTTTTAAACGTTCTTAGAAACTAATTATTATTGCCTTACTTGTGAACATGGAAATAATAATTCATGAACTATGTGGTAATACTGACAACCATGGCCATTTTGAAAATCATGAATGAATAACTTGATGGGTCAGCAAATTAGCATTTTACACACTGAGATTTACAATGTGGAATTTAAAAAATCTGGGATAGTGCCCAGACCGGTTTGGCTCGGTGGATAGAGTGTCGGCCTGTGGACTCAAGGGTCCCAGGTTCGATTCCGGTCAAGGGCATGTACCTTGGTTGCAGGCACATCCCCAGTAGGGGGTGTGCGGGAAGCAGCTGATCAATGTTTCTCTCTCATCGATGTTTCTA